AGTTAGGGTAATTCGTAAACTAAAAAGTTAAGTTAAATACGTATAGTAGTTAGTATACTAATATATATACTATGTAGGTAAACGATGGATAGCCATAGCTCATATGAACATATGAGCTCAACGGTCCAGATTGAATCTGCGCCGATTTGAAGATCACGGATATTCGCTAGTGGTTGATTTTTTTTTTTTTTTTCTTACAGATTTAAATCACTTGAAAATTTAGGTGTGTGTTCTTCTCATCAATGCGCACCTAATAAAAACACAAAACAAATTATTCGAAAAAAATAAAATGACCAATATACCTCCTAAAGCTTTTCGGAGGTCTTTTGATCAATTTATTTCATTTGAAATATTTTTTTGATATTTTTAGAAGATTCACCTATTTTTTTATGAACTCAAGCTTAAAATTTCAAGTGATTTGGATTTATAAAAAAAAAAACATAAAATTGAAACACTACTGGACATCCGTGATCGTTAGATCGGCCCAAGATCAATCTGGGATGTTGAGCTCATATGTTCATATGAGCTAGAGAACTAATCCATACATGAATTTGTATTTGTATAAAAAAAAAAAAAAAATTCAAATACGAAATGAGATTATAGCCGTCTGATCGGCCCAGATTCAATCTGGGCCGTGGATGTTTACTGTAGCAATCAGCCCATAGGCAGCAACTTTACTTGCAAAAGTAAGATTATAGTAATTTATACCGTCCATTTAAAATGAATGATATATACTTAACTTTACTTTTATAATGGATGTTGACACTGTTTCAAACGACGTGTGAAATCTATACCATTTAACTAAATAGATGGTGTAAAACTCTACAGCCTTACTTCTACCGGTAAAATTTTCGCTTTTATAATCTGCACTCATATAAAGTATAAGTATAATACAATCCTAATGACTAAAAAAAATTGTATTCCTTATGGTCATCACATCATTTGGAACGTTGGATTGTGATAAGGACATGTAGTCATTGGGAAGGGTCTGACCCGACATTGGGCATATCTTGTTATGGCAGGGCCCTCTCCCTCTCTCCATCAACGCCCATCGTATCAATGAAGTATTAAATTATGACCCTAAAACGTTGTATTACTGGGTTGAGTTATTTTGTGTCTTTTTATTGATGGCTCATGATATGGTTGGAAGTTGTGTACCGTCTGTTCTTAAAAATGATCCAACCAAGGATGGGACCCATTGCATAGATGGGCACCTAGGACAAGGATGGTTTGATCCATGAAAATGGAGGGCCCCGATGCAATGGCTCACATGAGACTAGCTAATTTAAGGATAATGGTATCATATGAGCCATCCTGCCTGTAGAGGTATAAAGCATCCATAGTAAAGATGGATGCAAATAGGTGGTCCATCTAAAAACAATGACAATTAACAGTCCAACTGTTTTTTTTAATATAATTATTATTTTTAATTTTTAATTTTTATTTATTTATTTTCAATTAAATATATCTTACTCGGTTATCAATTTCAGGAAGAGCAGGATGCCATTGCCAAGAACAAGAAGGGAGAAAGGCTTACATGGGAGGATTATACCTCCATGAACTACACTCAATGTGTAAGTGTTCTCGAAGGCATTCAACAATCAAAAAAAGAAAAGAAAAAAAGACAAATAAATAAAAAATGTTCTCGAAGGTGGTTTAGTCTTTTTTTACTACAGGTTACTGGGGTTCTCTTTCAGTTATTTTTATGTCTGCTTTTGTCGAGATATAACCATATTTCATTACCAATAAACGGCACCAACTATGTTCTTAAATTCAATCATAGCTCATAGAATCATTCTTCCAAATTGAGCAGACAAAATAATCAAACAAGACTCATGTTAGTTTTTCATAGAGAGATACCAAAGACTTGATTTTTGCGATCAGGTCATCAACGAGACGCTTAGAATGAGCAGTGTTTCTCCCATGGTGCTTCGTGAATCGACAGAAGACGTGGAATTTGATGGCCACACAATCCCTAAAGGCACTCATGTCGTCCTTATGAGCAATGGGGTTCACAGGGACTCAGAGTACTTCACTTCGCCGCTGGTCTTCAATCCAGACAGATGGTGGGACTTTGAAAATGTGAGTCATAAAACCCCAAAGCGATCTCATTATGTATTATGCGAGCTAGTTCGGCAATAGAATTCAAACTTGAGATCAAATGTTTTCGTTATATAGGGTGAAATTACATTGCTGATTTTTTTGGCAAAGCAGGATAAATTTGTGAACTATACCTGCTTCACCCCGTTCGGCGGAGGAGCACGACTGTGCCCTGGGGCTCAATTGGCTCGCCTGGAAATTGCAATTTTGCTTCACTATTTAGTTACAAGATGCAGGTAAGATGGTGGTCTGTACTCAATATTTTAGATTTTTATCATTTTTTGTGGGATTTTATGACTATATCCCATTTTTAGTAGTTTTTTTTGGCAATGTCGGTTTTGAAATATTTATATCTGTCTTCTCTAGAGTTTATTTTAAAACTTATGTTAAATTTAAGGAAAAAGAAAACATAGAACACTATTGGTCAAAAAAAAAAACTTAGAACACTAAATTCTGTACATATCTTAAATAATGGAGAAAGTACAATTCTGAACTAATATATTTTATTTGCCTTTTTTACACTCTATAATTTTTGTAAATTGATAGCTTATATCTTTCTTGAAATAAAAACATAAGGCATTAAAAAGGGGATTGCATACAATGAGACTAATTACCTTTGATATAAGTAGGACAATATTACTTATAAATGTAAAATTTGATAGCTTGTCACAAAGTTTGAAGTTTGAGCTTGATCAATAGAATAAATGCAGCCATCCAATTTCTCATCCAATGGTCAAGATTAGTTGTGACCACCTTATGTTAAAGGTAAATGATTTCAATGTATGCTCTTTCATTAAAAAGCACTCTAGAGATGAACTATTTAACTTCTCATCCGTTGTTTATTTAATTTCAATAATCTGATAAATGACACGTCATATTAATGAGATAGTTGATAGTTTAGGTCTGTTTTAAAAAATAAAATAAAATGTTGAATAGTTGATACTTTAGGTCTGTTTTAAAAAATAAAATAAAATGTTGAATAGTTGATACTTTTAGACCTGGCTTGACAAATTTTCTAAAAAGGACATTTAGGGGAAAGTCTCAAGCGATTAAAGAGAAACTCCATTGTTTTAGGAGTTCATTTAGAACTTGCTTTCTCCAAATAGATTTATGGAAAGAACTCTAATGCTCAATCGAAGTTCAAAAGAACATCAACATGAATCGGGAATCGCCGATTCGGATTAGATTTAGTAGGGTGACATGGACGGACTAGATAATTTGTTACTAAAAACATTATTTTTAGGGTTTGAAATGATAAATTTGTTTTTCTTCCTAACCATAAGCGACAAGGCTGAGATGATCTATTTGATGGGTCCATAAATTTGCAATTCTTGAGACCCTGTTTCTCACTCAAGTTTTCTTTTCCCTTTTCTTTTTAACTTGTTTCTAATTTGTTTTTTCGTTTTCTTTTTTGGGTTTGATTAGCTGGAAGTTGGTGAAGGAAGATCGCATCACGGAGTTCCCTTTGCCAACACTCGTTGAAGGTCTCCCATTACGCGTGTTCTCTAGACTTTAATGTTTCTTTTATATAGTGATTACAAAATCAGTGACTCGATCTACTGATTCTCCCGATCTGACATAGGTACGGGTGTGACCGATTCAAATCACCGATCCATTTTTTGAAATACTGCTTTCACATAAGTGAATTTCATAAAGCATCTATGTCTCTGTTTTTTCTCTCTTTTTTACTTGGGAGTTAAGATTATGAAGAAGAAGATTGATATGTCTCTCTCCCTGCACTGAGTCATTTTTCTTTTTTTTTTCTTTTTCTTTTTTGTGAATGTTAATGGAGGGCTGCATCATTTTGTTACTTTTGCTTCACCACTATTGGGATGCATGAAGAAAATGAGGGAGTTTTTAACTTTACTAGATTGATTACCATGTTAAGATATAAATATGAGTTTTATAACATTTGTGAATGTCGTTTTTTACATGGAGACAGCTAAGCAGATTTCATTTTAGATTTCAGGGGATCGCCCCATGTACTGTTAAATTTAAACTGGTTTAAATGGTTTTTGATAATAAGTTTTAGAGAGTCTGGAGAGCCTAATCACGAAGATACCTCGTCTGATCATATGAGCTTAACCAAGTTATCAGTCACTTCAGGTTTCTTTGAACTTTGTTTAAACAAGGACCTATTCATAAAATTTAATGCAATGCTGAAAGGGAAAGTATATAATGAGACCATTTATCTTTGGTGCAAAGTGGTCACAATTAATCTTGACCATTGGATGTGAAATTGGATGGCTGCATTTATTTCATTGACCAAGCTAAAAGTTCAAAAGAAATTTTCTTGAACTTTGTAACACACGCAAACTATCGGATTTCAGATTGGATGGTTGTAAGTAATTGTGTCCTCTCTGAACCAAACATACATGGTCTAAGTGTATACAATCATATGGTGAGAAAGTTGTAATACCGTTCGTGATATTTGCAATGGTTAAACATGAGACCCGGTGTATCGGTCATGGACTCAAATCGAGATGAAGTTTGAAGATTTACCATATATGTTTGCTTTAACTTTGGTTAACTTACAATGCCATATTATGGCCATGGTTTGATCGGAAATCTTTTCAGTCGGCAGCTAAACAAGTTTAAGTGAGTCTACCTCAGTTTCAAGCACTTACGAACTTGGGCTGTAGTTAAGAATCAAGTGATAATTCTGAAGCTAAGATGGTCTGTCTGTATTTCTAAGAGGCACATTGTAAAGTTTGCATAACCAAAAGATCATATAATTTGCATTGGTCGATACAATTAGTGTTTTAAGGCATGAGAAATGACAAAGTGGGTGAGGATCCTTTATCAATAACAAAAAGTGAAACCCACCAAATGAAATATCTTAACCATTATGAAAAATTGAAAAGGCACCCAAGTTTCACATTTATACATGGTGCCAACTTTTTTTTTTTTTGAGTGTTATACAAGATGTCAATTTTACATATAGAAGTACGGTGCACCTCAAAAACTCACTGGAAAAAACACTAAAAAAATCCTACAATTGATCATTTCGACTTTGAGATATATGGATGTGAAAAAAAAAAAACAAGTACTATAAATACCGAAAATAGTGCATCTTGTAATGTAAATATCTAGATTATCCATTTTCAAGATTTTCAAATATTCGAATATCTGATCGATCTATACTATTTTTTAAACTTTTATTATTAGGATGAAAATATATTTGTAGATCATCATAGGAATTTCCAATAGTGAGGTAGCATCTTTCAGTATTATTTAAAGTGCGCCTGACTTTGATTATTTAAGATACCAACTTTATACAAGCTTCACCCCTAAGAAAAATCATGAAAAATATAGAGGAATTGTGAAGCACAAGAACCCGTGAGCGCGTCCAACCAGTTGATGCTAGCTCACTCATGGCAGAGTTGGCAAAAGAGAAGGAAAAGTGACAAAATGTGAGGATTCCAATGAGAAAAGAATGGACACCATTTTAGGAAAGCTTTAAAAGGGAACCCCACGCCACCGCAGAGGGGAAAAAAGATTGATAACAAAGAGAATCAAAGTGAACGTTGTAAAGCTGCCCTGTGGGTCTATAATTCAAATGAATCTTTTTTAAAACGTACGAAAGAGAATCCAGCATGTGAGCAAAACCAGTAAGGAGTAACGCACCAAATATGGGGATCAAAGATAATATTTTTTTGAAAATTTTATGATATTACTTGTAAGAGATGAACACATTTGATATTTTACTTGTATTTTTTATTTAATTTCATAATATCCACAAAAGACAAGAGTCTGATGATATATGAAGAATTAAACCAAAAGGTACGATAGATCATTCTTAATGCTCAAGTTTTTTTTTTAAATATTCATAATCATGGTGATCTCAATGACACACCTGCAAAATTTGGAAGAGATGCATTTCAGGAAGATGCTTTGTAAAATCAAATGTGCCAATCCGGTCCATTACCGGCCCTTTACTGGCCCTAATTTCATTCAAGGCTTTCAAGGGTTAGGGATGAACCAGGTACCTTCTTATCTGGCATGGCTGCAAGTGATGGCAAGTATTCCCAAATTACGTTAGGCAGGTATGGGCTTGCGCTATCCCAAATGGCCCAGCCCAACCTATAAAGTTTTAAAGCAAAGGTGTATTAAACATGAGATTTTATATGATGGGATCAGTTGCCTTTCGTACAAAGATGTCATAATTACTTGTAACCATATGATGTGAAATATATAAATTTTGAACTCGGTCAATGAAATAAATCCAACCGTTTAATTTTACATTTAATGGTCAGCATTGATTGTGATCATCTTGTACAAAAGATAAATGATTTCATTATATATATTTTTATTAAATATATTCAAAAAATTTATCTATATATATATATATATATATATATAAAGGCCGACTAGTTTTGTATCTCA